GTGGATGGATTCATTATAAAACTTGCTTGTGTGATCACTCAAACATATGCTTAAGTTCCTAGACATTTTTGAAAGAAATAACTTAAAACTTTTAGATTTTGGGCCTTTTTTCCTGATATGGTTGAGTTACTACAAACACAAATTTTTCCTAAGATTTAAGAAGGCTCTATTGTAAACAGCCTATTTATACCATTTTGTTCACATGGCATGTTTTTATATTATTCAACGTGATATAAAGTACAATGTTGAATAAAATATATGTCATGTTGTTTATTACCTTAATAAAAGACTCATACTTACAAATTTTAGTATAATATTAGAGTTGCTAATTATAGATATACTGGTATTTGTCATAACTTCCACCTGAACACAAATTAGAAAAGTAAGAGGTGTGGTGTTACATACACAACACATTCACAATGTAGAAAAACAATTTGACACCCTATTCAATTTTAAAGAATACAGTTATTCAGTCATAAATTATAAATACAACATAATTAAAAAAAAAGAAGTAAAATTACTTTATTTAACACAAGTGTAGCTCAAAAGTTAGCAGTGGATTCTGCCAATCAATTGTATATCTACTGGTTGGCATTTCAAAATGAAGGACAGTGGCAGATAGCCTTAATAGCTTTTTCATAACTCAAAAACAAATAAAGCACCACTGCAGTTTAAAGGGTGAGTGTGTTTGTTGGCAACAGGAATCAAACCTGAGATCAAAAGGCACTCCCCCCAGATAATCATCAGGCCATTAATCAAAGAGTAATGAGAAGTCATAACAAAAATATTTTAATTTGGATGACTAGAATGATCAAAAACAGTAACAATCAGAACCACCAAGTTCAATCAGTTAAATATATTGTCATGAAAATAATCAATCTTAATTTTAACAAATCTATTATTTTACATAACACTATGAAATCTATGTTCATAAAAAATAGATTAATCAAGTTAATCACACTGCTCTAACAAAAGCAACCTAAAGTTCAACAATTAAGCAAAGAGTTTCAAATTGAAACTGACTTCAAGACTTTCTAAAGACCTAAATATTTTAAAGTTATATGCTGGCACCTTAGATAGATGCTGGCACCTAAAAAGATCCCATAATAATTTGGTAGCAGAGAACATACCAAAGACAGATGATACACTGATTATAAAAAAAAATAATAAAACTTCCAAATTTCACCTGCTATATAAGATAATGGGACAGGAACTGCTCACAACACTTTAAATGAGCTGTGGCCGGGGGTTTCTTCATATTCTTGTCAATATTACTATATATACACCTCAAAATACTGTTAGCTTTAGCCCGTGCAATACAACATCATTTCAAAGACTTAGAAAATTACATCAACCAATATCCCAAGATCCTCTTTCTCACCTATATAACTAAAAGAACTATTATCTAAGTTAGATGAGAAATTTATATTGTAAAAGTCTGCATGCAAAACTTTCCATTTATGATCAAATTCCATCTTCCACATGTTTGTCACTAACCAACTAATCCAAGTCTTTAAATTCACAGCATCCTTCTTAGAATCAGTCATACCTAAGAATTGTATATATCATTAGCAAACTTAATTTCACAGCTATGCCTTTCTATGTATGTATGTACCATATTTTTCAGTGTATAAGACACACTTATTTACCTCAAAATTTGATGTCCAAATCTGCTTGCGTCCTATACATCGAAGGTATGAATAATATATTTATGTATATATACGATATACACAAGCCATGTGTAAATATATTTAAATAGGCATGCATAGTTTAGTTCAATTGAATGTGTTATTTATAACAATAGTAGTTTTTTTCTTTTAAAAACATAAATATATTGATAATGCTCCCTAAATAATAAAAAATTAAATTACAGTGAAAG